CCCGGCTAATTTTTTTTTTTTTTTAATAATTGTAGAGACAAAGTCTTGCTATGTTACCAGGTTGGTCTCGAACCCCTGGGCTCAGGAAATCCTCCTGACTCAGCCTCCCAAAGTGCTGAGATGACAGGCATGAGCCGCCACGCCTGGCTTGCACTCCTATGAACTTTGGCTCTGCTGAAGGCTTTCAGATCATCTGCCTTTTGATGATGGAATTCTCCAGAAGGGTTTGAGGATGAGGGGCTTTAAGCAGGATTGGGGAATTCTTGGACAGCTGCCTGAAGAGCCCAGAGTGCCCGGGGAGGCCATGTTTAGTGATTAGTGGATGGCTTCCTTCCATCTCTGTCTTCACAACCACGTGTGGTCACCAGGAATGGGCTGCCAGGTCTGGCCAACACGGCTCCCCACCACCATGCCCTGGCTAACGTCCAGTGCAGTGACTGCACATGGCCTCCCGCCAAGGCCCTGTGGCTCTCATCAGACAATGAAGGCTGCCTCCTGTCTGCAAGGGCAACCCGGCTCTCACATTTTCTCTGGGTTCCATGATGTATTTTGTCCTTTTTAAAATTTTAATTCTTATTTTTTGAGACAGGATCTGGCTCTGTGGGCCAGGCTGGAGTGCAGTGGTGCAATCATAGCTCACAGCAGCCTCCAATTCCTGGGCTCAAGCAATCTTCCTGCTTCAACCTCCCAAGTAGCTGGGACTACGGGCACACACCACCACACCTGGCTAATTGTCTTACTTTTTTGTAGAGACAGGGTCTCACTATATTCCCCAGGCTGGTCTCGAACTCCTGGGCTCAAGCAAGCCTCCCATCTTGGCCTCCCAAAGTGCTGGGATAACAGGCATGAGCCACCCAGGATTGATTCTGAGGCCTCAGGTGAAATTTGGCCGGTCAGCAAGTTCACACTCGGGGTCCATGAGCTGTGAGGGTCGACTGTGTTTAGGTTAATCAGGAAACTGGGACTCACAGTGGCTCAGTGACCTCGCTGCCTCCACAGATTTTACTGAGAACCGACTATGTTGCTTGAATTTTTCCAGTGCTGGGGCTCCTCCCCTCCACACCAGGGACACTTCCAGTCATGACAACCACCAATGTCCCCAGACATCACCCAGTGTCCCTGAGGGCAGCATCCCCCAGGTGAGAAGGAAGCGACACGAGGTGACCAGTGCCGTGGGCAGGAATGAAGCAAGCCAAGGGGACAGTGAGGGGGCTGGGAGGCCTCACAGGGACAATGACATCTGAGCAGAGGCCCGAGGAAGTGAGGACGTGAGCCAGGCAGCCACCACTGAAGAGGGGTGACAGGGAGTGAGGTGACAGGTATATGGGACAGGGAGTGACAGTGACAGGGAGCGACAAGAATTGAGGTGACATGTGACAAATGACAGAAAGTGAGATAACATGTGATAAATGAGAGGAAGTGAGGTGACATGTGATATTGACAGAATGGGAGATGACAAGTGATATGTGACAGGGAGTGAGGTGACATGTGATCAGTGACAGAAAGTGAGATAACGTGATAAGTGACAGAAAGTGAGGTGACACATGTGTGACAGGAAGTGAGGTGACATGTGATATGTGACAGGGAGTGAGGTGATGTGACAGGAAGTGAGGTAACACATTTGCAAAAAATTTGCAAATCATGTATCTGAAAAGGATCTAGGGTCCAGCATATATGAAGAGCACTCACAGTCCAACAACAGGACGAGCAGGCTGACCTGAGAAGGACAGAGGCCAGAGGTGGCTTTTTGCGGAGAAGAGCAAGCTGCTGATTATGATGCTTAGCTTGACTCGTTGCCAGGGAGATGCAAAGCAAAACATCACAAGGCACTGCATCACGCCCTTGAGTTTTAAAAGATGAAAAGCCACCAGCGTTGGTGACGATGTGGAGAAATCGGGATCCTTGTCACTGTTGGCGGGAAAGTAAGACGGCACGGCCACTGCTGGACAGTTGTTCAAAGAGTTCAATGTAGATTCACCACAGCCCAGCAATTCCGCTCCCAGGTATCACCCAGGATAATTGAAAACAAGTAATTGGACAAATATGTGAACAGGCGTGTCCACAGCAACACGATCACAACAGCCACAAGTGTCCACCATGGGGTGATAAGTCCACATGGCATGATCTGTCCACACGTGGAACATAACTCAGCCACAAAATGGAAGGAGGCTCTACACAGGCCACAGTGTGATCAGACCTTGAAGACGTCACTCCATGAGACCCAGACGTGGAAGGATATAGTGTGAGACTCCATTTATAGGAAACGTCCAGAATAGGACAGGCCACAGAGCCAGGTGGGTACCAGGGCGTGGGAGAAATAGGAGGTGATCCCTGGATGGGTAGGAGGTGGTTTCATGAGCTGATCCAAGAACTTGAAATTAGAGACACCCGGGGGTTCCTACAACATTGTGGACACACAACCTGCCCGCTGGAAATGTACACTGTAAATGATTAATTATATAACATGGGAATCTCACCTTTTTAAAATATCAATACTTTTTATTTTGATATTGTGGGGTACAGTTAAGGGTTAGGTATACAAATATGTTTCGTTCAGGCACCCTTGTTGATAAGGGGTGTCTCCCCGTGGAATTTCACCTTTTTTTGAGTCGGGCTCTCGCTGTTTCACCCAGGCTGAAGTGCAGTGGCACGCTCATGGCCACTGCAGCCTTGACCTGCTGGGTTCAGGTGATCTTCCCACCTCAGCCTCCCTAGTAGCAGACACTACAGATGAATGTCACCATGTTCGGCTAATTTTTTTATTTACTGAAGAGACGAGGTCTTGCTAAGTTGCCCAGGTTGGTCTCGAACCCCTGGACTCAGGCGATCCACTCGCCTCTATCGCCCAGAGTGCTGGGATTACAGGAGTGAGCCACCACACCTCGCTATTTTTGATAGACATTAATAGATATTTGATATCTATGATCAGACTTAATATCTATTTAGTTTCTATAATTAGAAGAGTGAGGAACTTGCACACGAACAGGCCGACTCATAGAATAGAATTTAAAAATCAAGAAATAATAAGCCATTGCCTTGCTAAACTGTGATGTGGCCATGTGCTCTTTGAGCTGTGGCCAGGCCATGTTTTCTTAAGCTGTGGCCCCCTCTCCTCCCTTGGGGAGGTGAGTCCTCTCTTTCTCTCTCTCTCCAATTTACTTTTTTTTTTTTTTTTTG